ATTTCAATTAAAAAAAAAGCAAATAACAATTGTAAAAATGAGGACCAATCAAATTAAATCAAATTATAAAGAATGAAATTGAAAAAAATCAAAAACATATATAATAATAAAAATTTTGAGGACCAAATATGATATAATCAACAAATAATATGACATTTCTAATTTTTTTATAACTTTTAAAAAGTGTTTTCCACTCAAAATAAAAAAAAATACTTTGCTAAAAACCAAGGCAAATTTTCTTTTAACTAAATAATATTTTTCATTAATCAATTTTTCTAATAGTAAATAAAAATATGTAAGTTTGAAAAATGATTTTAAGGAAACCACTTTACATGAAACTAATGGGGTCTTACATTAATACCCTTTCTATTTCTAATATGTATAGTTTTACATATTATTTCTTTTTTTATTTTTATTTTATTCAATTAATTTAATATATTTGTCTACTTCTATTATCATTTAATTAAATAAAAATATTTTAATAAATAAAATTTAGCAAACATGATTGGGTAAATGTCTTGTCTTATGAAATTAAATATCTTAATTTACATCTGTTTGTCAATTTTTCAAGTTGTATTTTTAGGTATCATTAATTATTATTTATTTATTATTCACACACATAATTCTCAATTTATTTATTTACTATAAAATTTTTTACAAATTAAATTTTTCAAACTATAAAAATGCTTTGGAAACACTTGCATATATAAAGTTTTTATAAAAAATAAAAATATTTAACCCGTAGATAAGCACAGGTTATATAATTAGTATAAAACTAAAAGTAGTGGGAAAACACACCCTCATTAATATTTTGTATTACAATAGCAATTTATAGTGTTGTTTTTATTTTTTATTTCTTTTCATTTTGACCTCTATTTTCCTTTGGCTAATGATTTATTTTTTAATTTAGTCCTTATATAATGTGCTTATGGGGATTTAGAGTTGATAATTTATTTTAATTTATCTTTTATATGGTTATTTTAATATAAAAAAATATCTTAGCATCGAGTTAATGTCAGAAAAATATTTTAGCATCATGGTATGGTATGATCTATTTAAGAAACAATTAATTAAATAAAAAATATAAATATTGTTTCTCCACACTCATCAGCACTATGGATTACAATAGTAATCCAGCATTTTTATTTTTATTTTTATTTTTGCATTTTGACCTTATATGATTTATTTATAGGATTTAAAGTTGATAATTTATTTTAATTTGATTTTTATATGATTATCATGGTATCAAAAAAATATTTCAGTATCGAGTTGATATTAGAAAAATATCTCAACATCATGATTTGGTCTATTCTTAAAAAAAAATTAGTTAAATAAAAAAAATTAAAAAAATTAGGTTATTAAACTTTATGGAGTCAATAATCCAGTTTGCGAGTTTAATGAGGTAATCTTGGTTGTCCCGATTTCACTGGGTATCTTTTTTATCTAATTGAACTCGATCATATGATTATCTAGTTTTCTTTTTATCATATAGTTAAAAAATTATTTTTAAAAAAAAACATGTTATTAAATTTTTTAAAGTCTATGGGTATATTGATGGGTTTGACGAGTTTATTTTTTTTTAATTTATTTTTTAATATTAGACTGATTGAAAATTAAGCTTCATAATTTATTTTATTTTACTTTCTATAAAATTATTATAATCTAAAAAAAATCTTAGTATTAGTTTGATGCTATATAAACAATATTAAAAAAAAATTATCATTTTAATGTTTTTTTTTAAGTTATGTTATGATTTTATTAGTCATATAAATTGTTTTTAAATTTATAAAATTTAATGATTTATTTTAATCAACTTCCATACAATTTAATTTAAAATTTAAGTTAAATAAAAATTTAATTTAAAGTTTTAAAAATGAAGCTAGTAGATTTCAAAATCATTTGGCTAAAAAAATCCTCACGCTCTTCGTATTTTTTATTTTTTATGTTTAAAAAGAGAATATTTTGACCCGTGGAACATGGGAGAATATACTAGCGGCTAACCAAATCTTGTTGTCCATGCAAAAAAAGATTAACCACATCATTAACATATAAAGTAAGCTTAAATTATACACATAGGCGCATGGAGTAGTTAATTACTACCCCTCTAGGCTTCTAGCCCTGGGAGCCCACACCATGTGTCCAAAGCAAGAAAGGCTCAAACAATCGATGGTTGATTTGTTTGCAAATTAAGGGGTGTTTGAAACAATTTCTATTCTTATCGTAAGATATTTTTTTAATAGTGATTTTAACTTAAAAATATATTAAATAAATATTTATTTTAATATTTTATAAAAATTTTGATGTATTAATATTAAAAATTTAAAATAATATTCATTATAATATATTTTTAAATAAAAAATTATTTTACAAAGTATCCGTACTCTATAATTTCAAAAATTAATAGCAAATTAGTTTAAAAATTGTTATAAACATGTTGAAGAATGGTTAATATATGTTTATTTTTGTATTTTAAAAATATTTTTGAACAACTTTAAATTTATTTTAATTTTAAATTAATTGTTTTAATATTTTTCATATTTTGATGAATTATTATCAAAAATAATTTTTTTAAAAAAAAATTATATATAGTAAATAATAAAAATTATTTTAAATTTTTTTTATTTAGTATTTATATAATAAATTTTGATATAAATCCAGCGACAGGAATAAACACAATCTTTAAAAAGTCTCACGTGTATCGACATATATCTAAATTTATTATATAAATACTATTTATTAAAAAAATCATTTCCAATAATTACGCGTGGACATAAACCCTGTTATGGGTGACCTTGCAAGAGTGCAATTTGACTTTTTCAAGGTCATAACTTCTGGCCTTTTGAAGTATTGGGTACGTGTGTGGTCTATATTTGCTGGAACGGTCCAGAGAATGCATGTATCAGCAACGCACCTGATGATGACAGCACATGGAAATCGAAATATTTACTTTGTGGTTAATTAAGTTTTGTACTAATACATGTGAGAGCCTGCGCCTGTGCCTGCGCCTGACTAGAACAAGTCAACAAGTTAGTTAAAGAAAAAATCTTGGCATCAACGCCATAAGGAAAAGAGCATATATTTGGATCGTGATGTAAATGTTGCCGGCCGTCCAATTATTGAGCTAACAAAGTCAAAATTTAGGTGGAGATTGGCATGACTAAACACGCACCATTCCACTGGTTTTTTTTTTTTAATTGTTAGTTGTTATTTTTTAAAATTTATTTTAATTAAAAATATATTAAAATAATATCTTTTATTTTTTAAAATATATTTTTAACATTAATATATTAAAACTCTTTTCATGAAAGTAAAATAAGAAAATATTTTGAGTTTTTTTATTTATTTTGAATTAGCATTGGTCATAAAAATATACGGTATAGTGCATTGAAGGAAGACTTGGTTAGTCATAGGAAGAAATTGCTTTCATAGAAAAAGAATACACGAGCAATTTCATAGAGCTGTCTACATTCAATGTCTTCTTTCTTAATCAGTCCCGACTCCCGACTGACCCGAAATCAAATCTTACTTTCTGGAATAGACAATTGAGACCCCCTTTTGCACTTAACCTAAGATTCAATTGGTTCCAAACTAGAAACGAAAATTTAGGCAGGTTGGTTAAGGGAATTGTTGGATATAGTTAGGTTGGATTCATGTCTATAATTGTTTAGTTTATGATATTTTATAAATTATAATTTCAACTCATTGAGATTTTTTTTAATTTGTTTTTGTATTTTAAAAAAGCTTTTAAAAAAATTTAAATTTTTTTTATTTTTTATTTACTTCAAACTAATATTTTTTTTTGTTTTTTTAAATCATTTTAATGCATTAATATTAAAAATAATTTTTTAAAAATAAAAAAAATTATAAAATTATTTTGATATATTTTTAAATAAAGAACATATTAAAAAACAATTGTAACTATACTTCCAAATAGGTATATTGAGTTAAGTTAATTTTTTTATAAATATAACAAATATTCATTAATTGAATTTATATTGCTAATTTTCATAAATCATATTTAGAAATAAATCTATAACATGAACTATAAATATTATAACACCCCTAATATTAAATATAATTTTCATACATTACACCCCTATTAAATTCTAGTTAACTTCCTTTTTCCCTCCAGCAAAGAGAACTCATTTTTTATAATATTAAAAAAATCTAATAAGAAGTCCATGTACAAGATCTTTAAAGCTGATATATTTTCAAATAAAATAAAAATAAATATTTAATGCACATGTTATCAAATATAAAAATAAAATAAATATAGAATGTATAAGTTAACAGGTTTTCAAAAACTTAATCCACCACCTAACTTATAATATCTATTTTTTAGATTTTTTTTATTAACTATAATAAATAATATTTTCATTATCTAACTTTAACAATTATCTAACTTTAACAAATTAAATCAAATTAGATAATGCAAATATTTTGAACACCCCTTATGTTGGTAACAAGCCTGTCGTGTCCCTTTTTTGTTTAGTTAAAAATATATATATATAAAATTTTCAAAACTATTTTTTTATTTTTGACATCCACCTAAAAAAAAACTCATTCGCATTAATTTAAGAACCGCATTACCAAATAAAAACGCATTAATACAAATATCTGACAAATGGGGCACAGCTCAACCTTTCTCAGAGCAGCCTGCAAACAGCTAGGATGATGAGAAATGTGCTTCTCCTGAACCCCAAAGATTTTCTTTCCTTTTCTATCTGTTAAGAAAGAAAAAGTATTACGTCTGTGAATTAAGATGTTAATGGTAGGAAGGGACCATTCTTTCTCATAAACTCATGTACCTATCCCTGCAAAATTTTTCAAATCAAAATTCCCAAGCTTAAACAACGAGCAGAATACTGGGCACAACATACAATTCATCGCAAGAAAAAAAAAATGTTATTTCTTCCATTAACATTCCTTTCCATCAATCAAACTAAGCCTTGCGATGCTAAATTTAAGAATAATACCATGATATTTTGACAATTGGAGTCACCAATTCTCATCACTTCATATTGAGATATAATATAAAATAAAATAACCAGCATTGTGTATGAGAATCAAATAAGATTTATTTCCCATTGTGAAAATGATCTAAACTACAGATTGTTACGATTTAGCAAAGGAAATTCTGATTCTATAAATAGTTCTATACTTCTAACCACATTACAAGCATCATTTGGGTACAAAAACCCTTGTAAAATGTGCATCCGAGTGAATGATGCGCGTTTGCTCACTTCTACATAATTAATTACCTTGGTTTCCTCCGCATTCCCATGCGTGATTTTGCATATCTAGATTTCTCATTAAGCCAAAACAACAAGTTTTACACTTCTAACCACATTACATGCTTCAACAACAACAACTACAGTTGCATAAAAGAATTTATAAAGGATACTCTAACCGTAAGCCCTCGCCAGCAACTGATGAATAGAGAACGGTGCCTTGCAGATGATTTAGTGCCCCAGTTGAGCTGGCAGCATCCTGCACAAGTGATAGCATTCTTAAATTAAAGATCAGAGTAGATAAAGTAACTTATAATTAGAATTCCAGACTCATAATATATCCAAGAAATAAGAAAACTGTGATATTGACATTTCCAATAAATTGAAGCTTCACTAGTTTACAACCCATCAAATTTGGTGCATGGGACAGATTGTAAAATCAAGTTAATAAATAAAGCAAAATGAAGATTCAGCATCTTCAAATGCCATGGAGTGAGCAAACAATCCAAATCTAAGCAAAACTCAACAAAAATTCATTATCATAAACATGAATCCCAAAACTATTCTTTACCTTAAAACCATGCCTACCTCTCTTACAAGCTACAAGGAAATTCATTCAATTATTCCACTTTCCTTCTTCAAAAGAAAGTTCCTTAATTTCTCTAGTTGGGTTGTTTTAAAAGAATAGAAACAGAGAAAGAAGGAAGAGTGGAAGGAGACAGTGAAAAAGAGCTAGACAGCAATCAAGAACCTGGAAATCAACAAATGCGACTGGAGCCCCATATGTGCTCTGCATCTTCAATTTCAGAAATCCAGGGCATCTGACGGAAAGAGAAGGGAAAAAAGAATCAGCAGCATAATATTTTTTTATAGAAAAAAGAATCAACAGAACATTACACCTGGAATGACTATTGCTTCCTTGCCTTGAGAATACTTGAATTAGCTCTTCCTCTGTACAATTTTGTCCCAGATTAGCCACAAAAAGTGTTGGGCATGGAGGTGCTGAAGAATTATTCTGTCAGTAGGAACATTAGTTTATCATCCTCGGAATATATGCTCATGCGCAGATCACATTCTGCTATTTTGATGTGAACGCAAACCATCCAGCAATAAAGGCCCATAATAATATAAAAGATGTGCAAAGATTCTTCCAGGAGTACAGCATACTATGAGTGCATTTGAATGTCCTGTTTCTCCACAGTAAAAATTCTTGCAACTATTACTTGCAAGAACTACTTATAAACTAAGTGGGGGGCATATGTTCCCCAAAAGAATTACAAAATATTCAAATCTAGAAATAAATGATTTTCCAAACAATAAAAAAAAATAACAACGATAACAAATTGTTTTAGTACAAAACAGTAATTCTAATTCAAGGTGAAATAATTGAGATAACAAAGAAATGTATGGAACTTACAGGACTGATATTGTGACATAAAAACAAAAGAAGTGAAAAGTAATCTAACCATTCTTCCTGCTTTTGACTCATTTCTAGATCTGTCATCGATGCTTCCAGGACTGAATAATTGAGAAACACAAAAAGAAAATTGATTACACAATCATGAATAGATGAAGAATTAATCAAAGATGGTCCCTGTACTTTAACATCAGAAAACAGGGCATGCAGTGACTGCTTGTGCTAAGCCCTTATCTTTCAGCTAGAAGGAATCACTTCAAGTTAAAACAAGTGCTAGTTGAGCTAAACGTAGCCTGTAGTTACTCCAAGTAATAAAGATGTGCTCAAGAAGTGCAAATGACCTTTGTGCAGATGGAAAACCAATCGTGTTGTAAGCAGAATTAGCCATTCCAGGCAAGTGAACGCTGCCAAAACCTGCTAGTGTCCAAGCGTGCAAAACATGTGCAATGTGAGCTTTTAGAAGAATGTGTCCTCCATGTGACTAAGCAATTAATTTATATGCCAAGGAAACCACAAAGCTAAATAACAGTGAGTACACAATCCATAAAATAAACACAGAGGAAAGTGTGCTAACAAGGAGCTCCCATGGAGAAGAGTCCAAATGATATTATCAATTTTAGACAATGGTCTTACCTGAATCAGGAGTGCCCATCGAGAATCCAGAGGAAACCCTAGCCTTTTTATCCAAACTAGACCATTCATCATCTAATCCTCAAAATCAAGTATAAATATGAAGTTTAGTAAAGTTGAAATAGAAAAGAAAGTAACAAGGAATTTGAAGCCATAATAATATGCTAGGCATTAGATTTTAGACCTGTTCTTGCACGCTTAGATCTGGAATTAGATTTTGCTAGATCAATATATAGGGTAGATCCCTTTTCAAGATCAAAAACCATCCCCTGCAACCAAGTTTCAGAACCAAGAATTAACAGTTATTGCTGGCATAGCTTGCATAAACAGCATTGCAATTAATCCAAAATAACCCTGTGTGTGTGCCCGGGGAAGGGGGGGGCTGTTGTCCCGCCATTAACTGGATGCCTTCAGTACAAATTGAAAAATGAAATTGGCATTGCTTCAAACCACAGAAGGATAAGATCCTGCATAATTCCTGACTAGGACAGAACTTAACTTTCATGCAAAACAAACCCTAAAAAAATGCAGCGCGTTTTACAGGATCAAGGCAAGATGTTCATACATTCAGAGCATGCATGGCTGCAACTGCGGACGGCTGGTCAGTGAATGTAGCAAAGGCAAATGGCTGCGACAATCACAACACATCAGAATGCAGCAACTCAACAGAGATCATGTAAAGAGTGAATAAGATATCAGCTGTCCTAATTCTAAGCCTTTAATCACGCATATTCAGCTCATAACCTAATTTCATGGAAAACATTCTAGTTTTTTATTTAACCTAATTTCTCTCACAACCTCGTAAACATGTGCAATTATGTAAGAAAAAGCTCCCAATTATTCATCACCGAGAAAGATTTTGACCTCGCTAATTAGAAAAACCATAATTAAAGGACAAATAATTAATTTCTAAGCTCAAACTTTTATTTAAAAAAAATAGTAAGTACCTGAGAATTTTGAGAGGGGGTACGGAGATGAGAAGATTCGTAGCCAGGGAACTCGCGGAATAAATTGTACATTTCGCGGGGCTTGATGTCATCAGGAAGGCCAGCAACAAAGAGAGTACGGACCTGATCATGTGGGACATAAGCAGGAACACTGACGTAGGATACGAAAGGTGCCGGCGGCGGTTGTGGATGAGGTATGTAAGGGAGGTGATGAGGAGGTGGAGGTGGAATAGGTGCCACCGTTGGTGGCGGAGGTTGCGGTTGGTAGTAGGTTGGGTAGTGCCCCGGTGGTGGTGGTGGCGGGTAGTATGCGGCCATGTTTTCCTCCATTGGGTGGGAGAGAGAGAGAGAGTGAGCCCTTAGATGTTTTTGGGTTCTCGAATTTTTCAACTGTGGAGTTTACGTGACTGGGCCAAGTTGAGGATTAGGCCCATTTCATAGGCATTTTCATTGTCAAAAACAATTATTGTAGTTTATTATTCTTTGTTCACATTGTCTACATAGCATAAACATTATAAAATAACGTAAAAAATATTTAAAATTTATACTCTTTATAAATAATGTTGTCAGCATAGCATAAACATTATATAATATTATATAAAAGAAATTTAGTTCTCATAAAATAATTTTTTATTTATATTAAAAGAAATGAGTTGATGGTGGAATTGTTTTTACTTTTTATTAAATAGAGTTAAAATTCCCATTTATATTTAAATTAAATTCAATAAATATTTATTTTATGATTTTTTTATTTACTATACATATTTTAGTTTTTAATATCATGAATATATTTTTTATATATTTAACAAATATGTTAAATTATTATATAAAAAAATAAAAACATGTTTGATTTTGATGAAAAAACTGGCATTTAATTAAATATATATTTCAAAAAAAATATTCATTAAAAAATTCCATAATTGATGGTTAAGTATTATACGTGAAAGCAAAATAATGAAAAGATGTTTACGCAATCCATAATGAGATTGACGAATCTTTCTTTATAATTTATATAACAAATATTCTAAAGCGGGTGAAGATTTTACTATGTTTATATAGTATAATAGTGGAGTGATGTTTATGTTCTTTGATAATATATATATATGATTAAGGAGAATGATGTTTATGTTCTTTGATAATATATATATGATTGAGGAAAAATTTTGTATTTTTATATAATTCATTCATCATTATTAAATTATGTTATAGTTTTTATCTTTATGGAGTATTTTTATGGAGGTAAAATAACATAAATACCCCTGGAGTAAAAGAAACAATTATATTAGGTAGGGCTGATATTTTTGGTTCTTTATATATATAGTTGAATTACAAATATACCTTTATATCCAAGAAATTTAATGAATTTGATTAAAGATATTAGAGTCTTTTGCCCCTCGATTTTTTTATTAATTGCTAGTTTGTATGAGGTTAATACAGTAATTCATCATTAAATAATATGTTTAATTAGAAAAAATTACTGTATACACACCAATAAGCGAAAAACCTTATTTTTCCTGGGGGCAATGTATATGGCAACTTTTAATAGTAAAAAGTGGGATTCCATCGTAAAGTCTAATTGCTCGTCATCACCTTTTTCATCTAAGTAGTGTGTAATCCAAATATTCTTTATTTATCACTGGAGATCCTTTTTTTTCCCTTTGTTTCTCTCTCATGCCCGGATAAATACATTATAATCCTTAGTGTTATTGATATTTTAGATTCAGTCCTTTTAGTTTTAATTTATATATTTTTATCATTTTTCTTTTGTTAAAATTTTATGTATGTTTAATTTAACTCCTGGTTTCTAATTTATATATACAATGATTTTTTATTCAAACCTCCCACTTTTAATTTTTTTTTTCTTTTTACTCTATTGACAGTTTTTATAGTTTTTAATTTTATCTTTCAAATCAAGTTTATAATTTTGGTTTTTTCCATGATAATAATAGTGATTTCAGTTTGATCCCTCTTTTTTTGATTTTTTATTAGTTTTCTTGATCTTTTTGTCAAATTTTTTATATTTTTCAATTATGTTTTCCAAATCAAATTCATGGTTTTTATTTTTTAATAATAATAATTAAATTAGTTATGATAGAAATTTTAGTTATAATAATAATAGTGGTGATGGTGGTAATTGTAATAATAATAATAATAATAGTGATAAAAATAAAAATAGTAACAAAAATAATAATATTATTGATGATAATAATAATGATGATAATATGAACAACAACAATAATAATTAAATTATTGACGATGACGATGATAATAATAATATTAGTTATGGTTGTAATGGTAGTAATAGTGATAATAATTATAATAATAGTGATAATAATGGTAATGGTAATAATAATATTACTAATAATTATGATTATTTTTATGTTCACCACCTTAAAAACACTATTTATTTCAATAATTTTTTTCCCTTGTTTTTTTTAAAAAAACTTATATTTATTTCTATAACTTCATACTTTAACATTTAACATTTAATTTATTGAAGATTATGTTTCATAATTTATTATAGTTTATTTTATTAGTGGTTAACTTGGTGTCATAACATGTATTACGGATTTGATGGGTTAACTCAATAGACTTCAGTTTTTTTATCTTTTTTTATTAATATTTTTTTTTCAATCTCATCATTCAATATGAGATTAATTGAGAATTAAACTCCATGATTTATTTTGTTTTACTTTCTATAAGGTTATATCGATCTCATGACTCGAGCTGTGAATTTGGCCAGTTAACCTAATTAACTCAAGTTTTTTTGTCTTTTTTAATTGATATTTTTTTTTTCAATTTTATCATTCAGCATAAAAATGATAAGGAATTAATATTTATGATTTATTTTGGTTTGTTTTCTATTATGTTATCGTGGTTTTATGACTCGGATCACATATTTTACGGGTTAACCCGAATGGTGGTAATTGTAATAATAATAATAATAGTGATAAAAGTAATAATATTATTGATGATAATAATAATGATGATAATATGAACAACAACAATAATAATTAAATTATTGACGATAACGATGAATGGTAGTAATAGTGATAATAATTATAATAATAGTGATAATAATGGTAATGGTAATAATAATATTACTAATAATTATGATTATTTTTATGTTCACCACCTCAAAAACACTATTTATTTCAATAATTTTTTTCCCTTGTTTTTTTTAAAAAAACTTATATTTATTTCTATAACTTCATACTTTAACATTTAACATTTAATTTATAGAAGATTATGTTTCATAATTTATTATGATTTATTTTATTAGTGGTTAACTTGGTCTCATAACATGTATTACAGATTTGATGGGTTAACTCAATAGACTTCAGTTTTTTTATCTTTTTTTATTAATATTTTTTTTTCAATCTCATCATTCAATATGAGATTAATTGAGAATTAAACTTCATGATTTATTTTGATTTACTTTCTATAAGGTTATATCGATCTCATGACTCGAGCTGTGAATTTGGCCAGTTAACCTAATTAACTCAAGTTTTTTTTTTGTCTTTTTTAATTGATATATTTTTTTTTCAATTTTATCATTCAGTATAAAAATGATAAGGAATTAAGATTTATAATTTATTTTGGTTTGTTTTCTATTAAGTTATCGTGGTTTTATGACTCGAATCACATATTTTACGGGTTAACCCGATTATACTCATGTTCTTTTATTGTAAACTAAAAGAGATTGTGATTATTTTAATAATATTTTTTTCTTTGTTTTTAGTTTTTTCTATCTAAATCTATATCTCTTCCTCTAATTCCATACTTCAACATTTAGTTTATTGAAGATTAAGTTTCATAGTTTATTATGGTTTATTTTATAAGTAGTTAGCTCGGTCTTATAACACATATCACAGGTTTTGCGGGTTAACTTAACATACTCAAATTTTTTTTTCTTTTGTTTTGTTTTTTTTTTTAATTTCATCATTCAACATTGGATTAATTGAGAATTAAGTTTCATGATTTATTTTATTTTTCTTTTTATAAGATATTGAGTTTTTGTTGTCTTTTTTTAATTGGTATTTTATCAATTTTGTTCTTCAACATGGAATTAATTATGAAATAGATTTTATAATTTATTTTGATTTGTTTCTATGAAGTTATCTTGGTCTTATAACTCAGGTCACGTGTTTTATGGACTGACCTTGGTAGACTCAGATTATTTTATTGTGTTCTATTTTTATATTCATTTTTGTTTTTTAACTTCAACTCTTAACAATAAGCGTATTGAAAATTGGATTTTATAATTTGAACTATTTAGTTTTTGTGTAAACTAAGATAATAACATTCACATAGTTCTATATTTAGATATTTCCTTTGGTTCTCATTGTCATATTTATTTTGGCTCTGAACAACTCATGGATTCAAGATTATTTTTGAGAATTCATCCTTAATCAAAATTCTCAAAGAAACAACTATATTTCTTACTCATATAAATAATCTTTTAATAAAAGTATATTGCTATATACCACTTAATGTACCAAGATATGAAAATCATTAAGAGAACAACTCACCCTTTATCATATTGTAGTTGCACTTATTTCATCATAGAAATAAATAGAAAATAATAATTTGCTAGTGTTATAAAAAATGTTATATTACCAAGTTTTTCTTTTGAAATTAGATCTTTGGATCTTTAATCAACTAGAAATAGTTACCATCATCACACTATTTCATCTTTAAAAGTTTTAAACTCATTCCCCTTGATGAACTACACATAAACTCTCTCGATAAATTCTTGGTTGGTGAATCCATAATATTTTCTTTTGACTTTACATAGTCAATGAAAATGATTCTATTTGAGAACAAGTGTTTAATGATATTATGTCTGCAACATATATGTTTAGACTTACCATTATACATATTACTTTATACTCTTTCAAATGTTGACTGACTATCATAATGGATACAAATAGTTGGTGCTAGTTTTGGCTAACATGGAATTGTTAGTTTAATATGTCATATAATCAAACGGTTGGTTTCACATGATATTATTATATTCATGTAAATACATATTTATTATTAATGAAGGCTTAATTTATCATTAATATTCATATAATATTATATTAATGAATCTAATATTTAATTCATGAATATAGAGTAAAGATAAATTCCACCAGATAAAAATATTTTACAAAGAAAATTATAAAGTTGTTATAATTATGAGATCTATATTGTATCAAAGTATGTCGATTATTTCTTAAATAATAAACATTCATTAGAGTCATAATGACTAATACATATTATGTTCTTTTATTTACGAAAGAAAACATTTATTCTCATAAGTTAAGGTATAAAAGATATCTAAAACTAATATATAGGTGCTTGTCATAAGACATGTACACTGAAATGACCAACATGAGAATTTCATATAGAGATATCACA